AAGATGTTCAGATATTGAAGGAAAAAGTAATTTTTGGGAAAGCATACCACATGATTTCTGTAAATTTAATCATTATGATTTATTATATGAAGGCAAGGCGGAAAAAATTATGGATTCTGTAAATGAAAAATTAACAATTGTATATTCGTTATCTACAGAAGATGTGACATTTGCCTTGACAAAAACGGGTGAAGAGGTTCTTTGCGGATATAACTTAATCAAAACGGAACATCCAAAATTATTAATTCTTGAAACTAAAAAGGGAGATTCATTTGCTCAAAAAAGACGAAAAATCATCGAAAACGTTGACATGTTTGCTTATATAAATTCAAAATTTGTTTATGTGGAAAAACATATACGCACACAAATTAAATACTTATACAGAGACATACTCCAACAACGTTGCAATCTGGAACAACAAATAATCAAGAACGCACTCAGCATAGCGATACATTCACCTGACGAATTCGCTTACCAATTCATGAAAGGGCCTGGTTATATGGCAACAATATCAGGAGAAACAGTATACATAATTAAATGCACTCCAGTGGAAGTAACCATCCGACATACCGATAAATGTTATCATCAGTTACCAGTATTCAAAGGAAACGAAACATATTTTATGGCTCCAAGGACACATATCCTACTACAAACAGGAACACAAATCACATGCAATAAAATAATACCACCATTGTACTTTTTAACTGACGCATGGTACCGAATTTCACCAACTCCAGAACTGGCAGTACCACCAACCAAAATTAAACCTATGACACAACCAACGTGGCAATATAAAAATCCTGGATCTTTGGCGACAAGCGGAATTTATAGTAGTAAAGATTTAGAAAACTTAATGGATTATATCATGTTCCCAGCTGAAAAAGGAGGAATTTTAAACACAGTGGCACGAGGAGTTCAAGGCAAACAAACCGAACAACAAGGCATCTCTCTATCACACCTGTTGGACGAAGCAACAATAAGAAAAATTGTTAGCAGTACTTGGGAAAAAATCTGGGGAGCATTCATCATTTTTGGAAACGCCAGCACAGGAATAATCGGACTCTACTTCTGCCTAAGAGCAATCAAATTAATAATTGACACAGTTATTCATGGATATGCTATTCACTCAATCTATGGATGGTCAATATATTTAATTGGAGCAATTTGGGACTCAGTAACAAATCTACTACTGCATCTTGGTAAGCGAATTGTACCACAAGAAGAAAATAGACCATCATTAGAAAAACAAAATGAGGAAAATTCTGGATCAAATGAAATTCCTTCAGAACAATCAAACAAGAGACATTTAACAGTGGCACTAACACAAACACCTAATACAAATACTAGCATCAATATACAACCTATAAACACAGAAAATACACAGAAAAATGATAATTTACAAAATGTTACTATGCAAGAAACAATTCACAACGAACCCTCTTGCTCTAATATATATCCCAGGCTATAAAAAAAAAAAAAAAAGAGAGAGAGAGAAATCTTAAATTAACTTAAATAAAGTTTAGAATTCAAAGGATAAAACGAAAGCATGTTATCACGTGTAAGGGTACTCTTTCATTCTGGTATCACATAGCCAAAACATAAACCCTCCAGTCATAGTCAATCGGTTCCTCTCAGTCAACGCTCGACAGCCCAAGCAATCGCTAGCAGCAAAAAGACAGCACTAACAGTTAAAACAGTTAAAACAGTTAAAACAGTTAAAACAGTTGAAACAGTTAAAACAGTTAAAACAGTTAAAAAAGTTAAAACAGTTAAAACTATTTCGTGTAAAGGAAACAGAAACTTTAATCCAAGTAAGTAAAACATTTTAAACATACTCACATTATAGTATGCACGCGTTCCTTTTTTTTTCTTCCAAAATTAGTTAAATTAAATTTACAATTTCACAAACATTAGATTATGAAGATCCCATCTGGACAAGAAAATAAGGATTTCAATGAATATTATGGGCCTATTGATGGGATCCTACCAATCGAACATGTTGCCACATATGCTCTATTAATAGCTAGCATATGTATTAAACAACTCAATAATGAAGAAAAAGTATACATATACAAGGAACACCCGAAAACAAAACTGTGTGAGGAATGCTATAATCAACTAGGACAACCAAAACATTACAAATTACTAGAAACGAAACATACCCTACACGTTGTGGCATTATTAGACAGAACAATAACTTATAAATGCCATAAGTGCAAAAAAACAATTATGAGACGAAACAGTGCCGCCAGACAATGTCGCGAATGTATTGAAGAATTTGTATTAGATCCCGACATATTAGAATTAGAAGGCGAGATACAAGTATATAAAAGATATTAAAAAAAAAAAAACAAAAAAAAAACAAATAAGTGAATGCATCAAGTAAATTTAATTTTCAAATGCATCAAATAATTTTAATTTTCACCAAATAATTTTAATTTTCAATCATTTTCATTCATTGCGCTCATACGAGGTTTCATTGTTATCGATCATTTTCATTCATTGCGCTCATACGTGGTTTCATTGTTAACTCACCACGTATGACTTAAGGGGGAAGGTGTTACGTCCACGTAACTTAACGTTACGTAACGTAACGTCCACTTTAAACAATATTTAACTTTAAACAATATAAATTCAATCATAAAATCAATTCGACAATAACGTTTAGACCGGATATTTTGGCCAATTGATCCTCAGTCTAGATGTAATAAATACAACACCGAATGCTTCTTCATCCGAGAAGATATAAAGAACAATGGGTAGATAACAAATATCATAACCACGATTATTGATTATCACTCTATGGAAAATATCCTTCCCCTACTACTAATAAGGTGGTAAGAACCCGCGCGGGGGTATCTCACTACCTGCCTATAAAAAGCGACGCGCAGACCAGTGGAGAGAGATTGATTCATTGATTCGGTTGTCGTTCATTCATTCAGAAAGATTCATTCCATACCATTCATTCACTTACACATTCTTGTATTTCATGACTATAACACATATAAAAAATATTCTTAAAACGCTGATCTATTGACTCTCAATTGTAAAAGGTAACAATTAAAGATTTGATACTTAAATATTTGTCTCCTCAGATTAAATCCTAAAGATCCTTCTTCGTTCCGAGTTAAAACATAATTCACACAAACCAGTCCGTCCCGGGGTAAATTAGTTAAATCTATTGACCTCAAAAAGGACTAACTTACATACATTTACGTTTCACATCGTGACACGTTGCAGAAGGCGAGTAAATGTTCAACTTTGGTGGTGGCGAACTTGTCGAGACCAGATTCGGGCAAACATTCTCCTTCGTCGTCGTTGTCATCGTCATCGTCGTCGTCGTCGTTGTCATCGTCGTCGACAATGACGTCGTAATATACATTTCCGATTCATAGGGCTGCTGCTGCTGCGATGATCGGCTCGGCGTGCTGATGTGGCATTGGTGCAGATTCAACAGTGGCGGCGACAACAATGACTCACAAATGTTATCGATGTCATTATCGATGTCGACTTCCTCGCTCATTTTGCCATTGTCCTCGTACATGATACTCATCATGACCTATTGTGAACGGAGAAAATCCTTTACGTACTCGCTATCCCACGAGGACTCCAAATATTGAATTATGTCTCCGAGGCTTTGTCGCATATTGATGAGCGGTTGCTGGACTGTTCTGGCGCTTAGGCAATGCATACGTATATATATATATATATATATATATATATATATATATAGGGTGCACGATTTATCTGAAGACATTGAAATATTTCGAGAACTATGCATTGGATAAAAAAAGTAGTTAATGAAAGTTGTTAGTCTCGAAGGGGGACATCCAATGATACCAAACTCGACCTCCCACCCCACCCCCTGGGGGTGGGGGTTGGGGGCAACTTTGAAATCTTAAATGGAAACTCCCATTTTTTATTGCAGATACGGATTCTACGCCACAAAATACGTAAATTTTGTCCGAAACTTTTTTTTTGATTCGTGATAGATGGCGCTGTAGTCGCAAAAAATTATATTTTCCGCAATTCTCCAGAAATGATCATTGGATTGAGAAATAAAAAATACCTGCTCAATATTTTTAAAGTACATAATAAAAGTTACTCCCCCCTCCCATCCTCTCGGGGTAGGGTGGATGGTAACGTTCAAATCTCAAATGGGAACCCGAATCGAAGAGGGAATAGAGACCCTTTACTAGAGACTGGCCATCAGGGGGTTCCGCGTGATTGGGGGATGCACGTAACCTGTGCCCGGAAAATGGCGGAGCCAATACGGAACCCTGCTCATTGAGCGTGAACAGGCATAAAATTTGAATTGAAAATATACGCTCGCACTCCGAATTTGTAGTGATATCGCTAAATGAATTATGTATACATAATAATTAAACGAAATAATGATTTACAAATTTATTTTATGAAAATACATTACTGGGTTTGCTAAATTAATGTTGTATACATAATGATTATACGAAATAATGGTTTATGAATGTATTTTATAAAAAATGCGTCGTAAGTAAATAAATATTATATATAATAGGGAATTAATAGTAATCACAAATGATATAATACCGAAAGGAAATATGTTTACTATCATTTTTTATTTATATATTGTAATCTCAGGTACAATTGTTGAAATACCCTTACGAAAAAAACACTCGACGAAGTGAAAAAACACTCAAATATTGAGTGTTTACACTCAATTTGAATGTAAACACTCAATATTTGAATGTTTTTTCGTATCGTTGAGTGTTCTTTTCGTAAGGGTAATGTTAAACAATAATGTAACTTAAAGAACTATCGTACATAATGTTAACTTAAATACAAAATGTTATGTGGCTAATGAAAAGTAATTAAATTATGGCAATGCATGCGATAATACTATCGTACTATCGCATGCATTGCCATAGTTTTACTATTATACATTTTATTTGGTAATTTGCGTTTGTAGTTGCCTAGTCGAAGTCTAAATCTAATAAAACGCATCATAATTTTAAATTTTATATTGTGACAGTTTTTCAAAACATCACATTGAATGCACTGCAGTTTTTCCTTAAAAAAATTTACTAAATCAAAACTTGTTGCATCAAAATTATTTATAAAATATGGAAGATATTGCCTAAAGACAATTTCCATCTGGTGAAAGTAATAAAATGTTCCGCTATTGACAAAAAATAACGTATTACGTTTAAAACATTTTAATTGTACAAATATTGCAAAATTTGAGATCGGTTTATATGTGGGAGATCCAGCGGACTTTAAACATGATTGACATGTAACATTATATTTGGAAATACGGGAAAGAATACATCCGGCGATGTTGTATAATACATTCATTTCAATGTTTCCTAAGTTTATCACCTTTGTGGACAAGTTGTCAGAGGCAAGTGGCAGCTTTCTTTTAATTTCTTTTGTTTTGGGCTTACTTAAAAAATCACCAGCAATAATCCTATCATCCTCTTCATAGCTGGAGTTACCTACTGGCTTTAAATATGTTGAAATTGCAATAATCTTCAAATTTTGTTTAAATTGTAATGCATTTGGGCTAGGTTGTTTAGCTCTAACGCAAGAGAAAATATTTTCAACACAGTCTGACGTTAATCGGCCACCCAAGACATATTCATAGCCTTTTTCACTAATTAAATACGTCGATAATTCAATGACTGACTTGGTGGTAATAATGACTCCACGTTGCAGGATTAAATTGCGTACCGTTTCCAACTAACATTTCTTGGAAAATGTCTATAATAGATTCTAAAAATGCTATTGTTTGTTCAAATTTATTTTTAGATACTTCATCACGTGGAAGTTTTCTCAATGCGAGGTTTGGAGTATGTGAAGTCATCACCGTAAACCATTTTGAAATGATTTCAATGAACAAGGCTGTCGTCTGATACTCTTTTTTAGGATCTTGCGTCGTTATAAATTTTAGACTGCCACTAACATCGCGAGAAAAAAAATTCTTAGCTTTATTGACTTTCATTTTCTGAAAAGTACTACTTGAAAAATAATCTACTTTTATTTTCGAAGTTAATTTTAGTTGTAAATTTTCTTGAAGTTCAGCCAGTTCTTCTAAATGCGAACAATAAACCACAGAAGACGAAAGATTATTAGCATTCGTGAATTTCTCAGGCAAGGTAATGGTTTTGTTATTAAGCAAGCAGTATTTTAAATTCTTTAACAGATGGCCAGTATCAGCGATAAACCAAAGCTTCCGATTATTATCTACACGATGGATAATTGAGTTCGTTATTAGTAAATGGCGTCCGGCAAAACCAACACGGAATGTACGCCACATCGCTAAATTATTTGGTCCCATATCGTTTGGGACCACAACGCTATGTACATAAAGTCCGATGGATTCAGCTTTTTGATTAATTTCAAGCACGATAGGGTGTAGCAATGCTCCATCATAACTTTCAGGTGTAAAATATAAAGCAATATTTTGTTTCCAACGTGAAAATATTCCAGCAAGCACAATAATCAAACCATGCGTAGCTTCAACACTTTCACCTACATGCATGAAAAAACAGGAAAATGATAGAAAAATTATAGAAAAATAGAAAATTATAGAAAAACCGTAGAAAATGGAAAGAATGATAACGCTCAGAAGACAGAACTGGCTAAACTTATGCAACAATTGGCTATAATTATATAAGAGTAACAACAAATCATAGTATCAAATTATAATGAAGCTATTTTTCAAGACATATCATTACGCGTACGAAACGATGCAGTTCCGCAATACGAACGCGTCGAGGAGTCGAAGTGTTTACCTGGTGCAATAGACATTTCGTCTAATACAAGAATGCAATCTCTTTCTCTAACATCTTGAAACTGAGATATCTTGTCTTCTAACAACTTAAAGATATCGTCACAAATTCCTTCTTCAAATTGAATATGTTCTAATTTTCTTCGGAGTGTACGTTCGCACGGTAAAGGCATATTTTGCTTTCGTAACTCCTGATAACCATTAGAACCACAGGAAAACTTCAGCCGAAGTGCTGTTTTTATGGTGGCGTTCGACCACACACAGCCGCGTGAGGATTTATTCGTGAGAACTTTAATCTGATCATCATTAAATAATCGCTTCAATGATGATTCTAAACTGTGATCATTTTGAGCCTTTGAATTGTTTTGCATTGTAGTTGACCTCTTAACCTGCTTCTTTAACAGATAGTTGCATTGATTACTTTTCAAGATAATTTTGTTGGCCATATCAAGTTTTTTGTTTGCTTCTTCCAGTTGTTTCTTCAGCCATTGAACGTCATCAACTTCGTTGCATGTTTCGTTTGAATGGCTAGAAATGGACGGATCTACAAAAACGTATATGTCGTATAAGTATCATACATCATACAACATGATGTCTAAAATAGGCGCATAAGAGACTTTTAATATGTCTTTAAGATATATTAAACACATGTCTTGACGTGTCTTAAAGACATCCTAAAGACTTCTTCAAGTTCTCTTGTGTGGGAACATAATAATATATTGCAATAAATTGAATTTGGTAGTTCAAAAGAATAATTACATATAATCAAACTTGCAAACGTACTCGATATCAATGGAATAATATCAGAAACATCTGATCCGAGACAGTTATTTTGTTTCGTGGTAACGTCTTCATGAATTGATGCTTGATGATCCAATGTTTCGAACATTATATTAGGCTGTTTTTCCACAGATTTATTAGTACTATCCTGAAATAATTCCATTATTTCAATAAATAGTTTTTGGCTGAACTATAAGTACATACATTGCTCATTCATTTTAACAAAGGTACGCATAGCAAGAGAACTCACGTTCGTAATAATACACGTGCCACTTCTTTCCGATAGAACAGAGAAAATTGTGGGCACAGCGTTGCATTTCAACTTCCGTTTTCCGCCGACTCGGGTTTTCTCCCATGTGTCATTTGCAAAATGTAACTATAAACATTTTTTATCTAATCAGCATTTTGATATTTATTAATAACACAGAAGAAAGGATTGTGATTACTTATTTCACATATATATGAATGCTTGGTTGCTACCCAATTAACTTTGCCTATATTATTGATCCATATTACCTTTCGTTTTGGATCACTTGGAAAGCAAGCCATATGAATCTTTCTTTCTTTTGTTGTACGACTAGAGCACCCAGACACACTGCAGCTTGGCATATTTATACCTACAAAAATAAATATTAAATATTATTATATTGTTCATATTTATACATATTACAATTTTCCAACATAAATATTTGTTACTGTTTTCATAATTTTAAAGTACAAGGTTAGTAAATATTTTCACAGCGTTATAGTTTTCGCACATCGAACATATTATTTTTCTACGTTTTTATTTCAACTGTAAGGATGTTAAATTTCGTGATTACAATGAAACAATCATGATACTTACACGACGTAGAATTCACGTAGCAACGGATTACAGCGCACACGGTCAAATGCACACACGAGTTCATGAATATTGTAGTCTGTTCTTTTTAATTACTGAATTTGTGCAATTGTTCCGTGGTGCAGTTAATAAGAACAGACCATTCGCCGCCATTTTCCGGGCACATGTCCAGTCTCTAGTAAAGGGTCTCTAAGAGGGAACTGCTCGACGCGCTACTGTGGGTGTATGGCGAACTACGGCTTATTATAAAAGGCAGTGCAATGCGGTCAGAGCTCACTTTTCTTTCAGAATTAGAACTGAAAGCATCTCTAACAATTTCATTTTACTTGACTAGTTTTTATTACCTGCATATCTACCCTTCATTCTTTGAACAGAATTGCAAGTGGAAAATGAATTCTGCAACCGTAGAAGAAAAAATTGAAATGATTCTGATTTATGGTGAATGTAGGAGGAATGTTGACGATGCTGTTGCCTTGTATGCTGAGCGTTTTCCAGACAATGTTCGCTCACGTTCTTTTTTTTACAAAGTTGTGACTGCCTTTATCTCGGATGGCAGCGTACAAACTAAAAAAAGAAAACGAAGAACAACTGTTACAGGAAAAGTTAATGAAATAGCTGTGCTAGCAGCTGTTCACCACAACCCACAGGTAAGCACTCGGCAATTACATCGCGATCTCGGAATTTCCGGAGATAGTATTCGCAGAATATTGCATCGTCATAAGTATCACCCATATCACATTTCACTGCATCAAGAACTTCATGGCGATGATTTTCATAATCGAGTGGTGTTTTGTGAATGGGCACTTCAACAAATGCAAACGAACCCCAATTTCATAGCTAATGTACTATTTTCAGATGAGTCTACATTCACAAACCATGGTGGCGTTAATCGACATAACATGCATTACTGGAGTGTAGAAAATCCCCCCCCACTGGTTACGAGAATTTGAACATCAACGTCCTTGGTCGGTTAACGTTTGGTGTGGAATCATAGGGAACAGACTCATTGATCTTTATTTTATTGAAGGTAATTTGAATGGAATCAAATATCGAAATTTCCTGGAACAGGAACTACCACCACTACTTGATGAAGTTGCCTTGGACGTTCGACAAAGTATGTGGTTTCAGCATGACGGTTGCCCAGCGCATAACTCAATAGCAGCACGGGAACCATTAGACCGTGATTACAATGGTCGGTGGATTGGCAGAAGTGGCCCGATTAATTGGCCTGCAAGGTCGCTTGATTTGACATCGCAGGATTTCTTTCTCTGGGGTTACCTAAAAGATAAGGTTTATCAACAAGTGCCAACAACTCGTGAAAACATGGTAGAACGCATAAGAAACGCTTGCGCTGAAACTCCCGCAGATATGCTTCTATCCTGTGTACAGTCATTTGAAAAAAGGATCAATAAGTGTATTGAAGTTGAAGGTAAAAATTTCGAACACTTACTTTAATTAATTGAACAATGAGAAGCAAGGGGACTCACATTAAAAAAGCACCCCGATCTGTGAGAGGCAAGAGGACTCACATTAAAAAAGCACCCGAAGGGAACATAAAACTACTACGTCCTCGTCGTTGTTCCTGTGTAACGCTAAAAGTAGTTTCTCGGAAAAATTCAACGCTATCTATCACGAATGAAGAAAATTGTTTCAATAAAAATTTCACGTACAATCTAATTCTGCAATGAAAAATGTGGGTCCCCATTTGAGATTTGAACGTTATCACCCACCCTACCCCGAGAGGATGGGAGGGGGGAATAACTTTTATTATGTTCTTTAAAAATATTGAACAGGTATTTTTTATTTCTCAATCCAATGATCATTTCTGGAGAATTGCGGAAAATATAATTTTTTGCGATTACAGCGCCATCTATCACGAATAAAAAAAAAGGTTTAGGACAAAATTTACGTATTTTCCGTATCTGCAATAGTATCTAGTAATATCTGCAATAGCGTAGAATCCGTATCTGCAATAAAAAATGGGGGTTTCCATTTAAGATTTTAAAGTTGCCCCCAACCCCACCCCCAGAGGGTGGGGTGGGAGGTCGAGTTTGGTATCGTTGGATGTCCTCCTTCGAGACTAACAACTTTCATTAACCACTTTTTTTATCCAATGCATAGTTCTCGAGATATTTCAATGCCTTCAGATAAATCGTGCACCCTGTATATATACTATTATTACCTGCGTGACCCTTTCTGCGCGATTCTTCCCACGCTCGTGTGTCATAAAACCTAACCTAACCTAACCGAAAACGCTGACGCGTTTGTGTATATGTTACACGATATCCATGACTTCTTTGTGGAACCGAACCTGATGATCGGGCATGCAATGTGGCAAACGTACATCGTAGGCTGTTGCCGTCTTCAGCACCATACGTTTTGTATCGGGTGGACATGTGCAGTCGCGATAGGTAGGTTCGCGCATTATCGCGTTCATATCCCGCACTCCACCTTCGCAAAACTTGTGTCGTTCGCGAAAATGCTGATACAACTGTACGCATTGCCAAATGGCAGCACCGAGACTGGAGAAGCCGACGAGCATCGCATATTCACCATTTATCGTGTCGCACTCGTGCTCGTTGTCGTCTCTGCTGCCGCTGCCATCATTGCCATTATCCCTCCTGTCGCCATCGTCCGTGGCGTTCAATCGCACCGATTCGCACGTTCTGCGAGAGGCGTCGCAATGATGATTCACGCCACTGTACGCACGACACAGTGCAGCGCATCACAGTCGAATACGCATAATTGGCGAACGGAGGAACAATCGACAGACTCGGCCTCCATGAATCGACGTATTCCAGGACGCACTATGGTGCGCAGGAGAGAGGCATTGTCGCGATTCGTCGTAATGATTTTGTGCTACTTGTTGATATTGGGGAGTACACTCGTTGTCTATAAAACACGACACACCATACAACTAAAAATGCGATGAAAATAATTACAACAGCGACTTGCATCGGCATCGTCTCGCACGCGCGCGCGCACGAATGTAGCAAGATGCGCGGAGCGCGAAGAAAAACTTATTTGATCGCGGCGTTAACGTCGCTTTTATGTCGTTCGAACGGAGTGCGCGATGATTAGAACGATGAATTTATCAATGATGCACCGCGCGAGATTGACTCAAACGCAACGGACTTGTGCGTTATTACACAATTGCTCGATTGTCCGCGACTCGCGCGTTTCGCCGTCGAAGAGAAGAATTCGTTTCGTACTACAGCGGTATCATGCTCGAACGGCTGGCTACAGCTGGCACGCTGTTGACTTCTTAATCTCGTGTAACAAAACGTCGTCGTCGTTGTCGTCGTCGTCGTCGTCGTCGTCGTCGTCGTCGTTTTCATCGTTATCAAGTTGTCTTCTTTCGACAATAGAACAGATTCGACAATAGAATAGATTCGATAATAGAATAGATTCAACAAGTCGAAGAATTGATTATTACATTATTGATCGAACGACAACGAGTAGAACCATTTGATACGGGCACGGATATCAGCTGCACCTATAGCGCAAAAATCGTCGAAATAGTAACGCAAAGAACGAAAATTACAATCGATCCAACGACGAGAGCCATTGTTGTCGTAGTTGCAGTTGACGCTCCACTTC